ATGATGACATGACCTAGTAGTAATGATAGGTTATGAAAGTGATGTTATGATGACGTGATTCCTGATGGTATCGTGGTGGAAGAAAAATATGATCATAGGTTTAGATAATAGATTATTGATACGTCATTAGGTGGAGAGGCGCGTGCACATTGGCAAGGGAGTGAACACACGTGAGAGCAGTTGTGTGCACACGTAAACAAGCGTGTGACAGGTGTAAGCACGTATGCACACAAGTGAGTGGTTGTGTACACGCGTGTAGGATGCAGGTGTGCAAATAAGAGTGTGCACACCTGTAAGTCGAGTGCACATGTGAGCCGTGTGCACACACATTCCTGAACGCCCCGAGTTCATAAATCAAGAGAGTGGCATTCACGACCACTAATGGTGACGACCTTTGTTTATGGCGTCAGAGTTCTCCCCCTCACCCCTCACCCCTCTCTCCCCACTCATTTACCCTCTCCCCCCTCCCCCTCCTCCCTCATCCCTCCGTACTCTTTTCTCAGTCATCCCTCTCCTCCCTTTTCAATCACCTACTTCCTCCCCCTCTCATCCACTACGTTCACCCCCTCTTACTCTCCTCTCTCTTTCCCCATCTCTGTTTTTTTTCCTCCCTGTCCCCCTTCCCTCTGACTTTCCATTCTCACTTAGATCCACCCTCTCCTCTCTCCCCCCTGCCACGGTTCTTTCCTTTCCCTTTTCATCATATATCCCCACTCACCCTCGCACTTCATACCTCCTCTCCCTTTCTCCGCTCTCCCACTCATTCCCTCTCACTTCTCCCCCTCTACACACGTTTCTACATTTCCCCGTTCTCTCGTCTCACATTTTGCTTACCCATTTTTCCCCTTTATTCTCATCCTCTCTGCTCTCACCCGTCTCTCCCTCTTCGTCTTCCCCGTCCACCTCTCCCGTCTTTTATTCTCTCCCCCGCTCCCACTTACTTCCTGTGGACCCCACCAGGTGATCGTGACTCCACCAGGCGACCCGTGACCCCACCAGGTGATCGTGACCCCACCAGGCGACCCGTGACCCCACCAGATGATCCGTGACCCCACCAGGTGATCGTGACCCCACCAGGTGACCCGTAACCCCAGTAAGTGTTATGTGTACCTGGGCGTCACCGAGGAGTGTGTGGGAGGGTACTCGGTGTGGTGAGAGGGGGCGCCTGACTCGTGTGGCCAGCCTGGGAACACACACCATCACGCTCTTATCTCCAACCTGAAATTGCTACTCTTGTCATGCGAGGCGACGTATCCTGTAGCAGCGCCTTACACTCGTCCGTACCCTGTTTACCTGCTCCTGAAGCCACGGTAAAACCTGGTCTTGCTGACGAAGTCTTTAAGACCCAGGGGGATTTAACATTACCGACGAACTTCCACTGTTTGTTGGTCCTGAGGCCGCGGAAGAACCCGGTGGTGTTTCCATGGACCCGAGTTGTGTACAGCTCCTGAAGTCACTGGGTATCTTAGGGTGGTTTAGAAGCCCCTGAAGTCACGAGATCTTTTTATCGTTTATAAACTCCTGAAACAATGGGGGAAAACCTGCCAATGCTAGTTATGAACTCTTGAACCCACTTGAAAACCTGTTGATGCTGCGGGGTGCCAGGTGGGGGAGGAATTGAATCACCACAACACCGTCGCTGCCCACAACAGGAAGCATCAACCCTACTGAATTCATGAGCGGGACCACCCTTGTTATTTTCCCTTCTGTAGCCTCGTCAGGAACCCCGACTCTTCCCGCCGTCCATGTTGAGTACCTCTGTACCCCGGTCTCTAGTCCACCTCTCACCTCCCCGCTAGTTTACCCTCAGGAAGTGTGGGTCAGCCATTCACCTGGAGCACCACCTATTTGCACGCGCACGTACTTGATCCCTCTAATACATTGAGTCAGGTTGGTGTCCGACAAAATATATGGCGCAGTGAGTAATATACAGTTTATCACCAAACATTCTTTATAATTGTAAGGATATAGTTTATTCAGTACAAGTCCTTGAAAGGTAATCAATCAAGGATTTTCAATGACGAAGAACATGTGGTAAGAAGTCATAGAAATAATTAATCCAAAGAAGAGAATAGGAAAACATAATATAGATCACAAATGGCGTGAGATGACGACGAATATATTGGAGTGCCAAGCTGCTGAAGAATTGAGGTCGCTGGCCAAGAGAGATAGTGAGGCGGTAGGCGAGGATGGTGGCCCCACATCACGGCTCTGCTGGGGGAATCTTTGCTATCATTAATCTCCCGTGCATTTAAGAGACACAAAGACCACGAAAAGGCCGTAGTTAATTTAGGAGGCACAAAGAGGCGAGGCGGGCGTAGAGGGTGCATATACAAGCAGGCGGGAGACAATGGCGCCAAGAATCTGTGGTCTCATGCCCTCCCGGAGCCCCTGTGGAGGCCCTCTCTACGTCTTCGACTCTCTTCTCACGTCTCCTCACGTCTCCAGCACCTCTCCCCGCATCTCTGCCTCTTTCGTGGACGTGGCTACCCATCGTCCAGCTACTGTAGGCAGGACTGGCGACGCACTCTTTAAAATATTTTTCTCAAAAGTGTTCACATCTGCATGGGACCAGGTCAACTCTGGCTGTCTGGTCGACACTGTTGGCGGTCTTGGTCGACAGTGTTGGCGGTCTTGGTCGACACTGTTGGCGGTCTTGGTCGACACTGTTGGCGGTCTTGGTCGACACTGCTGGCGGTCTTGGTCGACACTGTTGGCGGTCTTGGTCGACAGTGTTGGCGGTCTTGGTCGACACTGTTGGCGGTCTTGGTCGACCTGTTGGCGGTCTTGGTCGACACTGTTGGCGGTCTTGGTCGACACTGCGGCGGTCTTGGTCGACACTGTTGGCGGTCTTAGTCGACACTGTTGGCGGTCTTGGTCGGCCTGTTGGCGGTCTTGGTCGGCACTGCTGGCGGTCTTGGTCGACACTGCTGGCGGTCTGGTCGACACTGTTGGCGGTCTTGGTCGACACTGCTGGCGGTCTTCGGCACTGCTGGCGGTCTTAGTCGACACTGCTGGCGGTCTTGGTCGGCCTGCTGGCGGTCTGGTCTGGTCTTGGTCGACACTGCTGGCGGTCTGGTCGACACTGCTGGCGGTCTGACGACACTGTTGGCGGTCTTGGTCGACACTGCTGGCGGTCTTGGTCGACACTGCTGGCGGTCTTGGTCGACACTGCTGGCGGTCTTGGTCGACACTGCTGGCGGTCTTTAGGGGCTTTAGTGGCTTTAGGGGAGTTACCAGGCTCTCGGTGTGGCCTCCGGCACTCTGGGTGTTACAGAACCAAACAACATGTCACTGATGTCTCCAGACACTTGACTGTTTCACTAACAAAAACAAATAAGAAATATTGAAGTTCAACATTTTTGGGTAAACTTAGAAAACGAGTATTGCTGTTCTGCATTTTTTCGGCTTATTTAAATCGTTAAAATTGACGCTTCAACTTCTTGCGAGTTTCGAAATGGAAACCCGGTTAAGTGTCTCTCTGCTGTAAGACAAATCTATATTACAATGGTATTATTCTTCACAACGACGAGCAGTTCACGGTCAGTGTGGGAGTCTTGACACGGACGGCGGGAACAACGAAGGTAATTGTCGACGGCCTCCTGCGTTGACCGCCACCATTCCCCGCTCAACACCGCCCACCACGCCCCGCCTAGCACCGCCCACCACGCCCCGCTCTACACCGCCCACCACGCCCCACTCTACACCGCCTACCACGCCCGTCTACACCGCCCACGCCCCACTCACAGCCCACCGCCCCGCTCTGCCCCACCTGCCCCTTCCCCCATACCAACACTTTTGCTTATACCTTCACCACGTACACCCTCCACTTTTGTTTATAATACAGAGTGAGGAAGAAAATACTAGACATTTACACAGACGAGCATCGAGACTATAGACTAAGATAGTGACGAGGAAAGTTTATCTTAGTTACGTGAGTTCATAAACCTTTTGCTTCATATACAATTAATATCATTTGTGTGTTGGTACATGAGTTTTGTTCTGCCTGTGTGTATGTTCGTGTGTTTGTACATCTGTGTGTGGATATTTCCATCTCGTGGGCCTATGCAGTAGTCCCTGTAGCCCGAGCTTCCGAGAAAGGTAAGGAGACTTTTTTTAACATTGATGCAGTTTGCCGAGATGAATTTCCTACACCTGTGCAGATGGACCATAACACCTGTAATTGCTCAGGTAAGGCAAGACAGGTATTGATGAGTAGGGCATTTCTCCCCACGCCAGATAATTTGTCACGTGTTCCTGTCTCTCACCTGCCTCTCACCTGTCTCTCTCCTGTCACCTCTCCTTGTCTGAGGTTCTCTGCTCATGTTAATATCAAACTCACGGGTATCTGTCCGTTTCTGTATATTTATCTGTCTATGTATTTGTTTTATATATTTGTTTAACTATGTATATATAGCTTTCTTTCTGTTTGTTTGTACACATGTTTATCTATACATATGTATCTTTGCCAACATTACTTCATGCTCTACAACTAAATTATGTGGCCTAGATATTCTAAATCATATTCATATATTTCATTCTTATAATGTTATAATTTACTGCATTCAAACCATCGTCATTTATATATATATATATATATATATATATATATATATATATATATATATATATATATATATATATATATATATATATATATATATATATATTTCATGTAGATCCACAATGAAAACGTGGATAAGATAAATCTTGATAAAATCACACGTGAAAAGGGAAACAACGGAGTACCTTAGCTTTCGTCTTTATTCAAGACATCTTCAGAGGCAACTGAAGATGTCTTGAATAAAGACGAAAGCTAAGGTGCTCCGTTGTTTCCCTTTTCACGTGTGATTTTATCAAGATATATATATATATATTATAATTACATACAGTCCTTGAGTTAGATAACTTTCCTCTTCTCGCCATCTTTTTTAGTGTTATCATCTTTTTCCTTCGCATAATCTAACATCGTCTCCTCCTCCTCCTCCTCCCCGGTACAGAGCCAAGAGCAAGAACGGCGGACGGATCTTAAGGGATAAGCTGGAGAAGATAGGTCTCAACTTACCAGCGGGACGAAGGAAGGCAGCCAATGTTACCCTCCTGACCTCTCTCGTTGAAGGTAAGAAACGGCGAAGATATCTCTCCTGGAGTGTTTTAGATTAGATTATGTTAGGTTAGGTTAGGTGTGTTATAGGGAAGAGGTCTTCTCTTCACTCTCTGGGTTGTTATTGGTGCTGTTGCTGCTGCTGCCTCATTATAAACAGGTTTGTGGTGCTTAGTTGCAGAGTATCTCACTCGTTGTCGTAAACACAGAGGTGGGATGTGATGACTCCTCGACTCCTGTGTTTTCTCTTCTGACTCGAGACGAGATCAGAGATACCCACGCCTTTACCTACACCCACGCCTTTACCTACACCCACGCCTTCACCAACACCCACGCCTTCACCAACACCCACGCCTTTGCCTACACCCATGCCATTACCTACACCCACGCCTTCACCAACACCCACGCCTTTACCTACACCCACGCCTTTACCTACCCCCACGCCTTTATCTACCCCCACGCCTTTACTTACCCCCCACGCCTTTACCCACGTTGATTATCGCCCCCTGCGCAGCGCCTGTTTAAGGATGACGGGGAGAGAAATGAGACTGACCAGCCTCTCTCTCTCTCTCTCTCTCTCGGCTTTCTCAGGCACTGGTCGTAGTCACATCTCGTCAACTGAGCTTCCCTCACCCAACTGATACACGCATTACCATTTTAAAATCGTATCTTACAATTTATAGTTTAAAGTCTTCAGATTCTCACCTAAGAGCAGAAGCCTAAAGATTCAAAACTGATCCTGGTGTCATCAAGAACGTACACGAAGCCTAATAACGTGAAGAACACATTTGTTAAAAAATAAAAATAAATGAACTGACCGTGATCACATAAGGAACGTATTTGCCAACTTACCCAATAAACGAGCGGTTGGTTCGTCAGACCCGGTAGTTGTCGAGTCTCGGGCCGCTCATCACGGGTCGGACAGGTGAGGATTATGAGGCATTACCGACCAATCGACCACACTTGATGATAGTCGAGAACCTCCTGGCGCGGCGACCACTACTAGGAACCCAGGAGTGGCAGCCCATGGAACACACACACACGCTCAAGGGATCCACACACACGCCAAGCACATACATACACAGACGCCACTCACATACACAGACGCCACTCATATATATATACACATACTCCCACACAAACAAAAACAAAACATAAAAACAAAGGGAAGGTGAACATATATATAGTGAACTATAAATCCCATGGACCGAACAGTACAGTATTTTCTGAATATTGTCATCTCTTCCTCTTCCATGATTTCACACACACACACACACACACACACACACACAGTAACGTTATATATTGGTTACGATACACCTTTGCCAACTTTTGTTCACTATTATCAACATAAGGTGTATACAATGTGTTTCCCTAACGATGGTGATGGAATGAGTCTCTCTGTGCCTCGAGAGTGTGTACAGGTAGGCATTTTTACCTGGGCTGGGGATATGTGGCCACGTCTTGCAGATTCTTCGACACACCTTTCTCTTACTCTCTCACCTATAAGCCCATCCGATTTCTCCCCCTCCCCCCTCCTCTATCTCTTTCTCATTCCCCTTTCGTACGCCACTCACTCACTCACTCACTCACGTAAAGCAGTGAGGATTGAGGTACAGTAACACTGGACGCAGGCGAAGGAGCAGTGATGTCATCCACTATGATCCATCACTCTCCTATCCCAGCCATCATCACGCCCTCACACACCCCCATCACCCTGACCAGAGACCTTTTTTGATACCTGACCCATCACCCATTCCCAGCACAAGTCCCCCATCCCACACATCCTCATCATCTACCCCCCCCTCCCCATCATCTACCCCCCCTCCCCATCACCTACCCCCCATCACCCACCCATCACCGATCCCATCACACACTCCCATCACTCTACTCTGAGATCTGATACCCAACCCATCACCTTCGTCTCAGAAAGTCACCACCACGCCTCTTAACCTACTATCCTGCCTCATCTTAAGTATAATATCATGCCACCTATATTACCATGATCTCCTCAGCCTCTATCATGCTCCACTAAATTCATTATACCTTCTAAACTCACCATCATATCAATAATCTAACCTCACCATCATGTTATCTAAACTCACTATTATCTTATCTAAACTTACTATCATGTTATCTAAACTTACTATCATGTCATCTAATCTCACTTTCATATCATCTAATCTCACTATCATGTCATCTAATCTCACTCTCATGTTATCTAAACTCACTATCATGTTAGGAATGCCTCACCATCACCATGACTCACGTTCCTCAAGGTATAGTCACCATCATTGAGTTACATGTTCTCTTGTCCTCTGAGTTCCCACAGTGTCCTCGGTGTTATACTCCCGCCATTTTGTTTAGGGAGACAGGTCGTGAAAGTTGCGCTAAAATTGCGTATTCGAGTCAACTGTTACTACTGTACTGTTGTTAGTTTGTTGTGTGTTGTAATTTACAGAGTCTTTTTGTAGTTAATTGACAAAGAGCAAGATTTATAGCTTCGTCTGTCAGCCATCTTTCCTAACCTGACTGATAGTGGTTTTCGCAGGTAACTTTTTTTTTTTTTTAAGTGCAGTTTAAAGTATCCAGTGACTAATTCTTCATCAACACTGTTTTGTCATGTTTTGGACTTGGGTATTTATGTGTCTTTATGTCAATTATTATTATATTTCCCTTTGGTTGTCTGAGGTGAACTCGTGTGGTTAAGCTGTTTGGTGAGTCTGAATGTGTGGGTTTTTATTTTCTGGAATTTTACTATAGTTTTACGTAAATAGGTAGACGTTGAAGACTGATTAGAAAAGCTACAGAAAATTACCCAAAGTTTTGTTCTTCAGTGATGGGAGATGTGTGTTCGGTGTGTTGTTATCTTCAGTCATTGCAAGTAAGCCGAAAAGAAAATTTATTGCAGAATAAATGAGGTGGAGGAGAAGACGAGAGAGTCAAGTAACGTGAAATTGTTCCGCCCCGCTGAGTGAGCTGAGGTGAGACCCAGACACTGTTTATACACGAGGATTCTGGTGACAAAACATTGTTGATGGTGTTAAGACGGTGCACGTGAGGCGGTGTGTCTCATGGACCAGCTGCTGGGGTAATAGGTCACTCTTATGGGAACTTTTCTGCCGTAAAAAGTCGTACGGTATAGTTTGGGATAACTTGTCAGATCATTTATTGCATTGCGTATATGAATGTGTCAGGTCTATCATTCACAATATGTAAACAAAAGAAGAAAAAGAATATGTAAAGGTAAGAAGAATTTGGAAATGGTGACGGTGAGGTGACCCACGGTACATGGCGGTGAGGCAGGCTGTGTCAGGGATGCTGGGGAGGTGACCCACGGTACACGGCGGTGAGTGGCAGGCTGTGTCAGGTGTGATGGGGAGGTGACCCACGGTACACGGCGGTGAATGGCAGGCTGTGTCAGGTGTGCTGGGGAGGTGACCCACGGTACACGATGGTGAGTGGCAGGCTGTGTCAGGGGTGATGGGGAGGTGACCCACGGTACACGGTGGTGAGTGGCAGGCTGTGTCAGGCGTGATGGGGAGGTGACCCACGGTACACGGCGGTGAATGGCAGGCTGTGTCAGGGGTGCTGGGGAGGTGGTCGCGCCTGGATAAAGATGGCCCTTACCCTCAGACATGATACCTGTGGTGCTTGAGGTAACGTGGGTGTCACTGAGCTTTGTTTCTTCTCTGTGGTAATGAACACAAGTAGTTAAGATGCGTGGCAGTAGACCGGCGGTGGGTGTGAGTGTGTGGTGGCGGAGGGTCGGGCTGGCGGCGGTGTGCGTGCCGGACCAACTCAGCCTGGTCTAGTAATTACAGATTCTCAGGAGCCCGACTCGACCCACACCTGGACCGGTCCACCGGCCCCGTCGCTCTTCCCAGGGACCCGAGATCTGGAGTCCGGGTTTTGGCGGGGTCTTGGAGCATCCGTGAGCGGCAGTCGGTGGGCATTATCGTGCGAATTGGTAGGAGATAGTGACGTTAATAATTGCGAGTAATGGTGGCCAGGAAGCACGAGTAAGAGGCAAGGGCGCGGGCGTGCTTGCGGGGGCGGGCCCGGGAGCCAGGTCGTGCGCGTGGGCGGGGTGGGCGTGCAGGTCTCGGCCCGCGTGTAAATCCAGTAGCCGCCCTGCATTCTTTCTCAGAATCTCCATGTATATTTAACCTCGCAAATTTGCTTCGTTCTCTCCGTAACTGAGGTCACTGACATTGGGTAAAGGCTTGTTGCTGCTGCTGCTGCTGCTGAAGTGAATTTGTTGAAACACTTGTATGACGCTGACGTAGACGAGGTGCAACTCTGTAGGTACTATACTAAGTAGTGACTGGCACCTTACCTTTTTTACATCCCTCATCCACCCAGGTGATGCAGGAGGTGGTGGGGTGATGCAGTGGACCCACACGCACTGTCAAGGATGCGACGCGATACTCCGGTGACGCCGCCTCCTGTTAATAATGTTATTGTCGTGTCATTAAAAGCGTGTAGTACTGGTACAAGAAGAGAGCGTGAGGCTCCTGGTGGTATATACCTTACAGGTGCCTGCTGGGGTGAGACAACAGCGACACCTTGAAGGGAGATATGTTAGTATCTGAAGCATCCCGACACTGCTACGCAAACTATACATAATCAAAGTGACAAAACATCCTCTGCTTTATCTGTTGATGTTGAGGAAACGTAATGTGACGCAGAACATCGACTCTACTTTACTGAGTTACCAAACACGGAGGAATTGATGTTCCATTTTAGCGTCGACCTAAAATAGTGTGATTTTTAACACGTCCTCCACATCTCCACAAGCTCAACCCATATGCTTTTTTCACGTTTTCCGCGGGCGTTTATGCTACATAGAAACAGGCACACCAGACCATCACGAGGCTCTCAGTAGATATCATCACCGGGATAGGTAGAGGACTCGCTGCCCTAAGAGTGGGTCTGGCAAGCAGTAGATCTCCCACGCTCTCCGTGGCTGCAGGATGGTGGAGTACAGTAAGTCTCACAGTCGTTTACATACC